GGGGGGGCGGGGGGGTTCCCTGCAGGGCGCTGTTTAAGGCCTTGGGAGGGCCGAGGAAGGGACGGTGATGTCGGTGCCCCCTGCATTCTCCAGAACGGCGGGATCTACTTGCTGGCCAATCAGAAGGGCTGTGACGGGGACCGACTATACTACGATGGCTGTGCCCTGATAGCGATGAACGGCCACATCTTGGCGCAGGGCTCCCAGTTCTCCCTGGACGACGTGGTGAGAGCGAGCTCGCAAACCCCGGGGGCATCTGCTCCTTTCCGTGACCGAGCCCTCGTGCTGGGCTGTCGTCTCCGGGCCCCCCCCACCCCACCCCGCGGCCAGCACCCGCCCCGCCCGGACAGATGAAGCCACCACAGCGCGAGGGTCACACGTGCACGGCCTGGGGGGAGGACCCGGCCCCACGGTCACACTCGGGGGGCAGGCGAGCAGGCAGGTGCTGTGGGGGGCAGGCTGTGTCGTGACAGGAGAGCTGGTGAGCCCCAGTCCCCCAGGGAGTGAGCAGGCACCGCCTGGTCCCCGCAGGAGGGTGTCCCTCGGCAGGGGCCTCATCCGTAGAAGCAGGGTGGAGGGGAGCTTGGTGAGGCCACTTGACGCAACCCGCTGGCTCTTCCCCACATGTCCGGGCCACCTGTGTTAGCCGTGGGCCTCACAGCGCCCTGGCCCCGAGTCCTGGGAGCCCCGAGGCTCCCCCGGGGCAGGCCTCCCTCCGTGGGCCGTCTGGTCTCCCTGGACACGCGAGCGGGCTGGGGTCAGGCACGTCTGTGCAGGGAGGCGTGGGGTGAGCTCAGAGGAGGCGTCGCTGCAGCCCTGGGGCTCGGGGTGGCGGGGGACAACCAGGAAGGCAGGCTGAGACACCTGTCCCGTCCTGCCCTGACCGGGCCGACCTCTGAGAAGCTGAGGGAGATGCGCCCTCTGCAGCGAGGGCGCGTGTCCGTGCTGTCTGTGCGCCGACAGGTCTTTCAAGTTCAGGACAAAAAAATGGCTGTTGTCACGGGAGACGGACATGAACGCCAGCCGTGCGGACGCCACAAGTGACCCTCGGCTGTGCGGGCGCGAGGGGCCCTCGTGCGGCACCACCCGTGTTCGGGGGGTCGGGTGGAAATGCTAGTTCGGGGGCAGGGGGGAGCGGAAGACAGGTCCGCAGGGACACGGCAGCGCGAGCTCACGCCAGGTCGCGAACCCTCCCGTTCGTTCCCTCTGCACTCGGCTCGCTGAGGGGACGCTGGTCCCCTCGCCGCCCCGCTGGGGTTAGGAGGGAAGCAGGTGTGAAACCGAAGTCACGTTTCAAAGCAGAGCGAGTGGACTCCGTGATGCTCTCCTGCTGGGGGGAGGGGGGCGGGAGTTTGGCAGAAGGGACGCTCCCTCCCTCCCAGCTGTCCCCCAGGCCGTGCTCGCCAGGTGACAGCACCCCCACAGGCCTTCAGGTGTTCGGCATTAGCCACGGTAGAGGCGGGTCAAGTTCGTGAAAAAGGCGCCACTCTTCTGCGTCCCACGGGAACGCCCCGCTGTCTTCAGGCCGGGTCGGCGTGGCCGGGACGGCGGGCGGACGTCAGGGCCACGGGTGCCCTGCGCAGGGTTGACTGGCAGTGGAGGGGGCCGCCTGTGCCGGGAGGAGCAGGTTCTGGGCCCTGGCCAGGCCTTGGGGCTGGGACCCCAGGGGTCTGCACTTTGGGTGGCTTTGGCGGCCTCTCGCTTCGGGAAATGATGGGAGGACAAACGCAAGCCCCGTTTTGCTGGTCTTTGTGGCACGTCCAGAGTGGCCCGGGCCCGGTGCTGACAGCAAGAGTTGCCCACGGGGCCGGTGCAGGAGCAGGGTGGCCACGGCCGTCCTGTGTCCCCCTGTGCTGTGCCGGTTAGCTCCCACTGTCCCACAGTTGTACGTGAAGAGACAACGTCACGGTGACATAATTTGATCAGGAGTTATTTTTGTAGAAAAAGAAATAATATGACAAATTAAAATGAAATTAAAATTCTCTTTTTTGGGATTTTTTGGAAATCTAATTGTTTTCCTATTTTGTGGTGTTTTTTGACTCTTCATACCCCTGTCTCACTTGGGTTTGAAGGCAGGGAAGTGTCACCCGCTGTCACACAGCAGCACACCTAGGCAGGGGCACTGGCGTGGACTGCCGAAGCTCTGACCACCCGTCTGCCATTGTCCGGCTTGTCCTTCCCCTGTGTGGGCTTGGAGCTTGGGTTGCCTCTCATGGTCACAGGATGGCTGCAGCAGCTCCAGCCATCCCGTCTCCACACAACCACGTCCAAAGCAGCAAAGGGGCCCTTGTCTCCCATGCATCTGTCTAAGAAGAGAGAAGCTGGCTCAGAGGTCCCGGCCGATACTGATCAGCAGAATCCTGTGCCGTGATTAGGGGACCGCTGCTAGGTGTCCGACTTCACTGGAGGTTCTGGGGGCAGCAGCGAGAGGGCGGGGCTGCAGGTCAGCAACAACACTGGCTGGCTGTCCCCTCTCCCCGGGCCCCTAGGGGCCCACAGCTCCCCAGTCCCTGCCGCAGAAGGTGGGACTCGTCGTGTGCAGTTTGGCGCGTCTGCGAAAACCACCCAGTTACCCAGCAGTCACGCGTTCCCTTCGAAACCCCCTCCTCCAGGAAGTTCTCACCGCGACGCTGGATTTGGAGGACGTCCGGAGCTACAGGGCAGAGATTTCATCTCGAAACCTGGCGGTGAGTCCTCGTGGACACACGCGGGACGCTTGACAAAGGCCCCGGAGCCCTTTGTGGTTTTTTGTGACAGCAGCTTCTTGGGATGTCCCCGGCACCCCGTGATTCGGGGGATGTAGCACGCTCACGGGGCCGCACAGCCATCGCCTCGTCGGTGTCCTGGCAGCGGGGGACCTCCTCACCCCAAGGAGACTTTCCCGTGCCCGCCCACCTCCACTCCACATCCCGCCCCCAGCCCGGGCCCCCCACCCGCCCACTGTGGGCGTTTCACGGAGATGAAACCATGAACCTGAGGGCCTTCGTGCGGCCTCTGTCCCTGAGCAAGCCGTCTGCGGGGCCCATCTGGGTTGTGGCGGGTGTCCGGGCTTCATGCCTCTTCCTGGGCGGGACGACACTGTGACCGTCCATCCGCCGAGGACACTCAGATCGTCCCCACGCCGGGTCTGTGAGGAGTTCGCTCTGTCGACGTGCGTGCGAGTTTTTGCGCGGGCGTTCTTCCCGCTTCCCCCGGGTGTGCGCCTAGGAGCGCGGCCGCCGGGCTGCACGGTCACTCTGCTTTAATCCCCGGAGGGGCCACCTCAGCGCACGAGGCTACCGAGCCTGCCACCGCCCGTCTCTCTGGCTCCAGCCGCCCCGCGGGGGTGGGGCCACCGCTGTGGGCTTGACGTGCCTTCCCGCTGGCTGACAGTCTGTCCCTCGGCCGGCCCTAGCGGCCTGTGAGGGGGCGTCACTGTCGTGAATCTCCGTCGGCAGGCCAGCAAGGCGAGCCCCTACCCCCGAGTGAAGGTGGACTTCGCCCTCTCGTCCCGCGAGGACCTGCTGGAGCCTCTGTCCGAGCCCCTCGAGTGGAAGTACCACAGTCCCGCCGAGGAGATCAGGTGGCCGCCCGAGAGCACGCGGAGGGGTCGTGCTGTCCCCGCGGCCCCTACCCTCGCCCGCTGCAGGGGCCCGAGCCAGTGCGGACGGCTGGGCCTCACCGCCGGCCCGGGGTGGCTGCTTGGTTAGGAGGAGACCGCGCTGCTTCAGGGTCGAGGGCGCCGATGCCGCAGCCGGACGGCCTGGCTTCCCCTCCCCCTCCCGGCCCTGTGGCTCCCTCGTGTGGGGGGCTTTGGGCACACTAGCCTTGCCCTTTGCTTTTGCGTCTCGGTTTTCCTGTTTTAAAGTGAGCCAAAGGCATGCCCCCTCTCCCAGCGCTGTCTGGAGACAAGAGGGCATTAATTCTCACGAGGCGCTGGGCCCAGCCGCTGCTGGCCGTTCTCACTGGCCCCGCTCCCGCCTGGCCAGCTGCCCCCGGGGTAGATTGCCGACGGGTCCGCAGCCCCCGGCCCTAACGCTTCGCATTCTTCTGCAGCCTTGGACCCGCCTGCTGGCTCTGGGATTTCTTAAGACGCAGCCGGCAGGTAAGATTTCCAGTGTTCTGTTCGGTTCTGTGGTGGGCTGGTGGGTTTTTCCCCCGACGCGAGCCCTGCTTCACTGTGCCTCGGTCAGGAGCTTAATCCACGTTAGCCAGACGCCAGAGCGCCCCCCGGGGGTTTGGCTCCGCCTTTGGGGTCCCATCTGATGACGTCCAGAGGGAACAGAATACATGTCCCACTGGTTCTGTGTCGTGACGTCTGTAACTTACCGGGGTTTAGTCCTAGATGCTCATCGCAGCGCGAGGTCTGTTTTCCCTCTAGAATAATCCATCCGGAACACGCGGCCCACGGCGAGAGCGCTGACGCCCACACGTTCTTGTGGGTGCCCGTCAGGGTTTGCAGGTGGAGCTGGGCTGAGGTTTGGGCGCGTCGCTTCCCCGAGGCCCTGCCCACACCCGCCTCTGGTTGACCCGTTCCAGGCCGGCTTCTTCTTGCCCCTGAGTGGTGGCGTGGACAGCGCGGCCACCGCCTGCCTCGTCTACTCCATGTGTCGCCAGGTCTGCGAGGCCGTGAATAACGGAAGTAGGTGGCGTCCGTTGGTCTGAGCGAGGCTCCGGGGCTCAGAGGACGGGGTGAGGCGAACCCCGGGTCCCGGCCGTCAAGGGTGAGGGAGGCTCCGCCGATGTGCTCAGATGTCGCAACAGGACCTGGGGACAGCAGGCCAGTGAAGCCCCTTCCCGGGGCTCTGGGCCAGAGCGGCCGTGGCCGTGTGCCCGAAGCGTGGCCTGGAGGGAGGAACGTGGACGGCCTCGGGGTCAGGCAAACCCGGGTCGAAAGCCTCCCCCGCGCGCTCTGTGTCAGACATCCCCGTGGCGTGCGTGCCAGCGAGGGGGCTGCCGCGTAGGAGGGGACGGCCCCCGGGGCGGAGGAGAGGGTCTGGGCCCTGAGCACCGCCTGCTGTCTGCGGGTTCTCAGATCAGGAAGTGCTGGCCGACGTCCGGACCATCGTGGACCAGCTCGACTACACGCCCCGGGACCCCCGAGAGCTCTGCGGGCGCGTGCTGACGACCTGCTACATGGCCAGCGAGAACTCCTCCCGGGAGACGCGTGACAGAGCCGCGGAGCTGGCCCGGCAGATCGGCAGGTAGAGGGGCCGCTGGCGCGAGCCCGGTTTTAGGGAAACCGTGTCTGTTCCCCCCGCCCCCCGTAGCCGCGTCGGATTCCCACGCCTCCGTCCCCGCCCCCTGCTGGCATCCCAGACACCGGCCACCGGGGCTGATGTGCCCCCCGGTGTGGGAGCCCGGGACCGAGCTCTGGGGAGTGGGCTGGCGCTGTGAGGGCCCGCCCCCCTCTTCCCTGGGCCGGAGCAGGGTCGGAGAGGGCACCTCTCCGGTCAGGGAGACTCGGTCCTTTCAGAGTCCTCTGTTCTCAGCCCAAACCGGCCCCACCCAGCAGTGCTCCTGGGCGCGTCCCCGGAGGAACTGAGAGCGGGGACTCAGGCGTTTTGCCCCCGTGTTCACGGCAGCGTCGAGCACGGCAGCCAGAATGTAGGAGTGGCCCGGTGTCCCTTGGCACACGAGGCAGTGAGCAGATGCGGTCCGTGCCCACGGCGGGACGTCGTTCGGCCTCAGGAAGGGGCTTCTGACACCCGCTACCTCGGAAGGACCCCCGAGAACGTGGTGCCCAGGGAAACAGTCCAGCCACAGCACCACGTACCGTGGGCATCTCCGTGGCACGTCCGGACACAGGGCTCCCCGGGGGGGCCGGGGGGGGGATTCCTGAGCTCCACAGGGGTGGCCGCGCCGCACGTGGACGCGCCGGGTGCCCCCGGCCCTGCGCACACCTGCCCTTTCCCCTCACAGCCACCACATCGGTCTCGACATCGACCCCGCGGTCAAGGCCGTCGTGGGCATCTTCAGCCTGGTGACGGGGAAGAGGCCTCTGTTCGCGGTTCACGGAGGAAGCCGCCGGGAAAACCTGGCGCTACAGAACGTGCAGGTGCGCCCCCAGCCGGGCCGGCGTCACGGGGCCTCGCGGGGGAGGCCGGGGGTGTGCGCGCATCTGCGAGAGCGACCGGCTGTGGGTGTCTGCGACGGTGGCACGGGTGCGTGCGCGTGTGTGCGCGTGTGTGCGTCTCAGTGCACGTGCTGGTGCACCTGTGAGAGCACGACGGCGTGTGTTAGTGGCGGGGGGGAGGCGTGTGGGCACAGGCGTGGGTGTGTGAAAATACGTGAGGGGATGTGAGTGCGTGCGTGTGGGTATGAGAGTGTGTTAGTGAACATGGGGGGGTGTGCGTGCGCGCACGTGAGCGTAAGAGGGCATGGGAGCGTGTGTTAGCGTGAGGGTGGGGGGTGTGCACGCGCGTGTGCGTGAGTGTGCCTGTAAGGCTCCTGCATCTTCAGGGATCGGGCTGCCGCAGGGGAGCCGGGCCCTGGCCGGTGGGTGGAGGGAGAGGGGGACCCTGGGCTCCAGCCACTGGGCTCTGTCACACCTCTGTCCCTTTTCTCGTGGCCACGGTGGCTTTCCCTCCTCCAGCAAAGCCAGCTGTGAAGGGGGTGGAATGGGTGGCCGAGAGTTCTCTGCAGCCCCATCCTGCCACCGAAGCTCCCTCCGCACCCCGGCTCCGGGTCCTTCCGCCTTTGATCCGGGGGCCGCTCGGTGCACACAATTATCGCAGGACCCTGTTTCCTCTGGACGCTGGAAAGCTCTCGTGTTACTTGGACTCTTTCTTTGGAGCTGCACGGGGAGCAGGGTGCCAGTGTGTGTGTGCCCCATGCCCGGCACGGGGTGACATTTCCCGCTGTGTCACCCAGGCTCGGATACGGATGGTCGTGGCCTATCTGTTTGCTCAGCTGAGCCTCTGGGCCCGGGGCGCTCGCGGCGGACTGCTGGTGCTCGGATCGGCCAACGTGGATGAGAGGTGCGTGTGCCCGACTCCCGAGCACCCAGGTCTCTGAGGGTGAGTGCTCCCCAAGGCGGTATGTCCAGGCTCCCTCCAGTTCTCACCGCATCTGTGAGACACACGGTGGCG